TGAGAAATTTTTTATCTTATTTCTATTACTTCCTTATTTTGTTTTTATAATAAACAGTGTGAAGCATTCAGCACCATGATGGCCATGGGGAAAGTTCTTTGGGAAAGCTGGATCCACTTATTCATTTCCATACACATTTGCTGAGTACATATCCTATGCCTATGTGCCAGGAACTACCCTAGGATCCAAGGCCACGGAGAACAAAAACACAGTCATTAGCCTCAGGGACCTCACAGACCAAGTAAAGATACAGACAGAACACCTGGTAATAAATACATGGTGTGATAAATGCTAGATCCAAAAATTCTACAATGGTACAGAGCCTATGGGTCAGAGGAAGCCAAACTGAGGAAGGAGGAGACAGGGAAGAATTTTTGCAGTTTGGAAGTAATAACTGGTTGACTGAGGTATAGTCAGTTGAGAAAGAGGACAAAGAAGTCCCGTGCAGAGGGAACAGCATATGCATAAGCACCAAAGCAGGAGAGAGACTGGTCCATTCAGGAAACCATATGTAGTTCAATTTGTTGCAAATTATGAACAAGCAGAGGGAATTCCAGAGATAATGCCTCTTTCAGGAGCCAGGTCAACCAGTTCATATGTCCACAGGGATCAAAGGGCCTTAATCAGAAGAGTAAAGAGGCCAGCTTTGTGCTTTGAGAGGTCACTGTAGTAGTGATAAGGAAAAGATCATTAAATCTTTAAAGAGAAGAAAGGCTGAAAATGGAGAGACCTGTTTGTAGGTGAATGCAACAGGCAGAAAATGAGGAGGGCCCAAGCTAAGGTAATAGCAATGGATTTCAAGCAGTAGACAGCTACAAAAGATATGAAGTAGCAAAATCAGTAACTTTGGTGACCAAATAGACACAGTAGAATGGACTCTTAAATGCTTAGCTTAGGTATATAGACAGATTATAATGGCATCCACTGATAGGAAGCATTAGAGGAAGGATGTAGTTAAAGGAGTTAAAAAAGTATCCATTTTAAGTGTCTTAGATTGAATTGCCTGTGAAACTTCCAGACTAGACAGAAGTGTTTAAGAATGATTCAGCAAATATTTTTAAATGTATACCAGTATCAGGTCATCATACTGTACACCTTAAACTTACACAATGTTACATGTCCATGATATCTCAATAAAGCTGGAAGGGGGAAAGAGTGTGCAATATATCTAGAAGTTTAAGAAACAGATCTAGACAGGATACAGCTGGCAGTCAAGGCCACAAACATATAGAGAGAGGGAGGAGACTGAGAAAATAACAAAGGGTCAAGGAAGGAGGACAGAAAACAAACACCAAAAACGAAGAGAGGGGAAAACAAAAAGTCAAAGAGATTAAGAGTTGGAGACCACATTAATACTTGGTTCAGGTGCCACTTTCTCCAGAGAGAACTTCTCTTGGTCTCTCTGAAACCAGGCAGGACCCTGTGGCACTCCTGGGCACGGACACCTTTCCGTGTCCCCTATTTCTTGTTTATCAGAAACAGACTCCAGCCTCCACAACCTTCCCTGGGTTACAAAGCACAGGTTCAAACTGCTGCTAGTCAGGGAAGGAAGGGAACACAGAGGTAAAGAAGAAGAAACCAAAAAATAGGATTTGTATCCAACAGATACGCAAAAATGTAGAAGTCTGATAATTCCAAGTGTGAGTGGGGAAAGTTAAGAAACAGAATGGTGCCAAAGAATTGACGCTTTCAAACTGTGATGCTAAAGAAGATTCTTGAGAGTCCCTTGGACTCCAAGGAGATCAAACCAGTCAATCCTAAAGGAAATCAACCCTGGATACTCATTGGAAGGACTGATGCTGAAGCTCCAATACTTTGGCCACCTGATACAAAGAGCCTACTCATTGGAAAAGACTCTGAGGCTGGAAAAGATTGAAGGCAGGAGGAGAAGGGGACAACAGAGCACCAGATGGCTGGATGGTATCACCAACTCAATGGACATGAGTTTGAGTAAACTCTTGAGAGATGGTGAAGGACAAGGAATCCTGGTGTGCTGCAGTCCATGGGGTCACACAGAGACACTGAACAACAATAGGGCAGCCTTGGGGCAGGGTCCTGGTTCCACCTCAGGGGATGCACATAAAAATATCCTTTAAGCTCTTTATAGAACTAAAACTCCCAATGGAATATTTGTAGCATTCTTCATTCTAGAGAAGTCTACCTGAGGCTAGACTGCAGGATCAGAAAAGCTTATCAAGAGATTACCTGATCTAAAACCAGATTAAAGGAGCGTAGGCCCTACACAGACCCTAATCTTAACAGCAACCCCACTCTTGAACTATTGCTATTAAAACTCCTCACCAAATCTTTGCTTGGGACACACAGTTTTCAAGAGCAGAAGCCTGCTGTGTCTCCCTTCCTCCTTCCCTGGCAAAGCAATATTGCCATAACATTCATTCACATACCTCTGTACACACATGCAAGAGTTCTTCTGGGTTCCATGTAAGCAGAAGTGCCAGGTAATAGAAAATGCATCTTTATTTTGATATAACATGAGGATTATAACCCTTACAAAATATAGTCAAATTGTTCTCTGAGGATTGCAACAATTCACTCTCTCACCATCTGCAGGTCAGATTTCCATTCTGTTTCTTTACTTTCCACACTCACACTTAGAATCATCAGACTTTTAAGTTTTCACCTATCTGTTGGATACAAATCCTGCATTAATTTTTATTTTCTGGTTAGTGGTGAGACTAAGCACTTTTCATTTGCTTACTTAGCCATGCTGATTTCCTTCTGTGTGAACTGCCTTTGTATGCTTTGCAAATGTTCTCAAATTTTGTCTTTTTTTTGCAAAAATTCTTAATATAGACTGGACATAAAGTCTTTTTCAGTTTTATGTGTTGCAAAGACTGTCTTTATGTCAATGGGCTTAGTTATATCATTTTAACTTGTGTTATACAAAGTTTCTATTCTATTACCAGTCATTCAATTTTTTGATCTACCGAGTCAGTGACAATATTTTTCTAATTTAGTCTGGAGGATTGGTTCTCAAGATGTGGACCCCAGGCCAGCAGCATCGGCATCACTTGGTAATTACTAGGGATGCAAATTCTCAGGTTCCAACACAGACTTAAAGAATCATAAGCTCTGGGGATGGGACCCACAACTTATGTGCACCAAGTGATTCTGACAGATACCAAAGTTTGAGAAACACTGGCCTAGAATCATTTACCATCTCTATCCAACTCCTAAATAACCAAAGTCTTCTTTTCCTACATAATGAGAAGACATGGACTACCACTTCTGCTCTACTCTCGGTATTCTTATCTAGAAGTTTGAGTGTGTGTGTGTGTGTGTGTGTGTATCAATAATGTCAATGGTTAATTAAACACAACAGCATTCTAAGACTATCAGTTTCTCTTCTTTTGCATCTTGATCCTTGGATATGTGTTCATGGTTCTCTCATTGAGGGTTTTAAGTGGTAAATTTTTATAATGATGTTTGAAACTGTCTTTATAAGGTCCTAATTTTTGAGTCATAGTTTATCTGGATTTAGATAGCAGTTATCTGCTATTAGCACCTTGAAAACATTGAGTGTGTGTGTGTGTGTGTGTGTATCAATAATGTCAATGGTTAATTAAACACAACAGCATTCTAAGACTATCAGTTTCTCTTCTTTTGCATCTTGATCCTTGGATATGTGTTCATGGTTCTCTCATTGAGGATTTTAAGTGGTAAATTTTTATAATGATGTTTGAAACTGTCTTTATAAGGTCCTAATTTTTGAGTCATAGTTTATCTGGATTTAGATAGCAGTTATCTGCTATTAGCACCTTGAAAACATCTGGTGTAATCTGGCATCTGCCGCAGATGAGAAGTTTGTTATTCATCTATAGGTATTCATTAACAGGAATTCTGTTTTTTTCTCCTGTGGTTTTTAAGACTTCTCTTTATGCTTGGAGTCTGCAGTGTTACCATCTTGCATCTACATGTGCACTTATTTCTATTTTTTTCATTGTTCTTCATGTTCTTTAAAACATGAAGATTTGTGAATTTCTTTAACTCTGAAATGTCTTCAGTCACTCTGAGTAATTTGTCACCATCCTGTTTTTCTTTTGAACTTCTTGTTGGATGTATGCTGAAGCCTTTCAATCTGTGTCTTCAAAAGTCTCTTCCCTCCTTTTCCACATTTTTTTAATCTTACTGTCTTTGTGCTGCATTCTTGTGGAATTTCTAATATAACCATCCGGAGCACTATCACTTCCTTCAACCATATCAGTCTAGAATACACTGTGTGTCTTATTCCACTGCTTTTATTTGTCATGTACGAGATTTATAATTCATATGTATCTTTTTGTTTCATTTTCTGTCTCTTTTTGTTTCTTATTCTTTTTATGAAAGTTTTTCCTTCATTTACCACTCAGAGGATCCTAAATACATGTATCTAAGACTTTTTTTCATAATAATCTATTATTTTTCTCAAATTATTGGCTGTCCTTTTAAGACTAGATTTCTTCATACGTTTTAGTTTGTAGTTCAAGCTCATTTTGGTAAAATGTCTTTTTCCCCCTTCCTTTCCAGCCAGTCTCCCAGGTCTAGAGGCACTCTGCAACTGCCTCTCTTCCCCTATGACCCTGATGGTATTGCAGATATTGAAGATTTACTACTGTGTAGGGCTCGCCTCATTATCACATTGCGAATATGTACAGAATCTCTATTTCCCAGGCACTAAGTTCATAGAAGTAACAGCCCCGAGGAGCTCTCCAGCTCCCTTTCTTAACCAGGAGAACCCTATTCAAGGGCCTCATTTCAAGAAGCTTCTGCCTGCTTTCAGACATACTGCAGCATGGTTCAACCCAAGTATAGCTTTGTTGTTCTGTTGTGCTTCTAGTACAGGGAAATGTTATCCTTTTTTATTAGTATATCTATTACTTTCATTTTCTCTTTTTTAAAACTGCTGTATGTTTCAACCAAAAGTGGAACTTAAAAAAGTAAATCCATAATGGCTTCTTGATATACAAGGTATGACAAGGAATCTGCTGTTATCCTTTTAGGATCCAGGAAAGCATACAGAATGAGGCAGACTTTCAGTCTCTGGTCCAGCAGGTGATGTTTGAAAGTTTCCATACCATCCTAACAACAAGTAAAATGCTAAACAAAGTGAACATCAACAATTCTCAGATTTATCAGAGAAGTGAGGTCATAGGGCAAACTGCTGCTCCCAAATTGGACAGACAGACAGGTGGATACAAAGAATCACAACTTACCAGAGCAAAACCCCCCACAGGAACCAAGAGCACAGTTGGAAAACCTAAGCTGTACCTGAAAAACTGCTGGACGTTCACTGTAGGTAAGTCTGAAAGTTAAACCTCCAAGGGGACCCAGTCATCAGGAGCCCCTGACACTTTTGTGAGTTCTACCTACCAGGTTCTCACGGTGAATTCTGGGGGGGAAAGTGTCTCATGTTTCCACGGAAGGGAAAAGGAATCATTCTGAAATATCCTAGAGAATTTTTTTCTTAACAAGGTCAGCCCTTAAAAGACACTATTTGACGAAAGCCTAATTTGATGAGATTTAATCAGAATCTAACCAGTTGGGAGAAGGGAATACTCAACTCCAGCCTACTCTGGCCATCCTGTCCCACCCATGGTGTAAAGCTTGGGACTGAGAAACACTTGTGAAGTTCACAGCCCAGAGACACAGACTCACTAAAAGACTGAGACTTAATCAGTTCAGTTCAGTTCAGTCACTCAATCATGTCCGACTCTTTGCAATCCCATGGACTGCAACACTCCAGGCCTCCCTGTCCATCATCAACTCCCGAAGCTCTTCAAACTCAAGTCCATTGAGTCAGTGATCCCATCTAACCATCTCATCCTCTGTCGTAACCTTCTCCTCCCACCTTCAGTCTTTCCCAGCATCAAGGTCTTTTCCAATGAGTCAGTTCTTTGCATCAGGTGGCCAAAGTATTGAAGTTTCAGCTTCAGCATTAGTCCTTCCAATAAACACCCAGGACTGATTTCCTTGAGGATGTACTGGTTGGATCGCCTTGCAATCCAAGGGACTCTCAAGAGTCTTCCAGTATCACAGTTCAAATGCATCAGTTCCTCGGTGCTCAGCCTTCTTTATGGTCCAACTCTCACATCCATACGTGACCACTGGAAAAACCATAGCTTTGACTAGACAGACCTTTGTGGGCAAAATAATGTCTCCGCTTTTTAATATGCTGTCTAGGTTGGTCATGGCTTTTCTTCCAAGGAGCAAGCGTCTTTTAACTTCATGGCTGCAGTCACCATCTGCAGCGATTTTGGAGCCCCAAAAAATAAAGTCTGTCACCATTTCCATTGTTTCCCTATCTATTTGCTATGAAGTGATGGGACTGAATGCCATGATCTTAGATTTTGAATGTTGAGTTTTAAGCCAACTTTTTCACTCTCCTCTTTCACTTTCATCAAGAGGCTCTTCAGTTCCTCTTCACTTTCTGCCATAAAGATGGTGTCATCTGCATATCTGAGGTTATTGATATTTCTCCCAGCAATCTTTATTCTAGCTTGTGCTTCATCCAGTCCAGCATTTCTCATGATGTATTCTGCATATAAGTTAAATAAGCAGGGTGACAGGTGGTCTGATATTCCCATCTCTTGAAGAATTTTCGATAGTTTGTTGTGATCCTCACAGTCAAAGGCTTTGGCATAGTCAGCGAAGCAGAAGTAGATGTTTTTCTGGAACTCTCTCACTTTTTCAATGATCCAAAGGATGTTGGCAATTTGATCTCTGGTTCCTCTGCCTTTTCTAAATCCAGCTTGAACATCTGGAAGTTCATGGTTCATATACTGTTGAAGCCTGGCTTGGAGAATTTTGAGCATTACTTTACTAGCGTGTGAGATGAGTGCAATTGTGCAGTAGTTTGAGCATTCTTTGGCATTGCCTTTCTTTGGCATTGGAATGAAAACGGACCTTTTCCAGTCCTGTGGCCACTGGTGAGTTTTCCAAATTTGCTGGCATATTGAGTGCAGCATTTTCACAGCATCATCGTTTAGGACTTGAAATAGCTCAACTGGAATTCCATCACCTGCACTAGCTTTGTTCACAGTGACATTTCCTAAGAAAGGCCCACTTGACTTCACATTCCAGGATGTCTGGCTTTAGGTGAGTGATCACACCATTGTGATTATCTGAGACTTAATCATCGGACTAGAAAACACTTCCCCTTCCCCCAGCACTTTACCACTACATCACTAAAGTCCTATTAACTGGAATTCCTTTTACCCAATCCATCATGATTGACTTTCAACAACAACAAAGCATAAGGCATACTAAAAGGCAAAAATTAGTTTGAAGAACTAGAATAAGAATCAGAACCAGACTCAGATATGGCAGGAATGAGACTTACTACAGACCCATTATCATGAGACAGGGAATTTAAAATAATCATGATCAATATGCCAACAAGTCTAATGGAAAAAATTGACAACATGCAAGAATAAATGTGTAATATAAGCAGAGAGATGCAAATTATAAGAAAGAATCAAAAATGAATGCTAACTATCATAAACACTGTAATAGAAATGGAAAATGCCTTCAAAAGCTCATTAGTTGACTGGACATGTCTGAGGAAAAAAACCTCTAAGCCTGAGCATATATCAATAGGAACTTTAAAATCTGAAAGCAAAGAGAATAAAGATGGGAAAAGAACGTAATATGAGGACTAGAGAACAACTACAAAAGGTAACACAAGTGAAATGGGAATATCAGAAGCAGAATAATGTATAATAATCAAGTTTGCATCTATACGACCCATCAAATTTCATTTTATGAGCAGTTCTCTTGGAAGATAAGAAAAGTACTCTCGCTATAATTCCTCATGAAATTTCTTCATAACTAAGTTATAAGTTACACAAGAAAAGCATCTTTGAAGTCACATCTCATGCAATTGGAACCAGTATAAAAACTGTAAAGACCATAAGTATAATTTCTGTAGAGTGTAAACAAGTATCAGCAAATGTTCAGCATTACACACCATAGTTGATCTAGGTAATTAATTGCCGTATTCTTCCCCACTGTGCCTTAGCAGTACCTCATGACCCTTTCTCAATGCAATGCACTGGGCAGTTGCTTCCAATTTACTACAATTACCATGCAAAATGAATTCTGTTCATCAGCATTTCCTAAGGTGTCCGTGTGGTGACTTCCTTCTATAAAACATTAATTGGTGAGAAAAAAGATTAATAAGGTCAAATGAATTTAAAATATATAAATCAAATATAGTGAATCAAAAAATATAGTGAATCAAAACTATACAGGTTTTTTCAGTTATCAGACTTAACAATATACATTATAAATTTCTATTTTCTGAACTTCCTAAACCAGGAACAGTTCACTGAATTAGTGTTCCTTGGAACATACTTTGAGAAATAGAGTTCCAGGAATATTCATGGATACACTATTTAGGGGAAGGTAGAAAAGTTTAGCAGTAGAGCAGTAATCAGGACATTTTCTCTGTAAAAGGCCACCTAGTAAATATATGGGACTTTGCAGGCCAGATGGCCTCTGTCACAACCACTCACCTCTTCTGTAATAGCCAAAAAGTGACCATAGTCAACACTGAGTGTAGCTGTATTCCAATAAAACTTCATTTGGCAAAAGAGGCCTTGGGCTATAGTTTGCCAACCCCTGCTATAAAGGAACATGATGATGCTTGGTCACAAAACATTCTTTCACTCAACAAACTGAGTGCCTACCATATGTATTCTGGGGCCATAAATATTGTTTGATGACTGAATAGATGAATTTATGTGTGGAAGACGATAGTGTTTCATGCACAGACACTACAGAGTCCTGAAACCTTCATAATTTACATTTACATGTGGTTTCTCATTTGACTTTTTTTAATCAGTATTATTAGTATTACCATTGCACAAAGGAGGAGACTGAGAACGTTTCTTGGTGGTTGAGCCAGAGATGGCATCCAGGAATGGTATGAGCGCAGACACACATTCAGAATGACATTTCTAAGTCAAGCTTCCTGTGTCAACTTGACATTGTCCAAACTTAGAGTAAGTCCTGCAACTACTGAAGCACAATGAAAACATGAGATATTAACTAACTAACTTTTGTCTTAGGCAACGGAAATAAATTCTACCTTGCAGGGTCATATGTTCAGGATGGGACAGATTCTTGAACTGCTCAAAGAAATTGACTGCATATTTTTCCACATCCAACACACTAGTCCTGTCATTGAACTCAAAACCTGGCCAGTAGCAAGGAAAGATAGAGGCATCCTCTGTTTTTTTCAATGTTTTGTTTTGAAATCCTGATGGAAAAGCTTTATTTAGATCTGGCTAGCCTGCAAAACTTTCCAAACAAAGGTTTCACATTTTGGTTGTTTTCCAGGTTCTGTTGATTCCTTTAAATCAAGTTAACCTCAGGCATGTTTGGGCTTTGTTCAAGTTACCAGCAGCCTCCATGTCCATGCCTGTTTCCCATGCCAGCTGTTTAGACTACAGCATTCTGATATATACATGCTTTCCCTGGTTATACTCTGCCCTTCCTAAAAAAAGAGAACCCAAGAAAATTCAAGTATTTAGCATCTGATAACTACAGAAGCAAGGAAGAGGACACAATATAGACTGAAAGGAGAGGCTGTTGCCCATGATCACTTTCTCAAGCTCTGTTACACAATTTTTTCTAGTTGTAACCTTCTTGAATAAATGCTAGAAGTGAGCCTGAATTTGTCAAAAGAAAACACTGACGTCCCCACAGGACTGTATATCAAGTGGCTGATGCCAAACAATTAGCACTGTGTCCAGACATAGGGCTTCAATTTTAAAAAGAACTATACTCCTTGAAATTGCTTAGGTTTGGCTGTCCTGCTGGCCACATACCCAGCCACTGGAATGTTTAATAGAGCAAATGTTGCTCTCTGCCTAAGCCATTTGTTTCTCTTTCTAGAATCCCTATGGAAAATTTCCTATGAAACAGATTTGAGAGTCAGGATGAACAAAAAGAGCCTCCTTTTGAACAACTGACTTCCACTCCCCCAACCCCAGTCCCACCAGATGAGAGCAAAAAATGTTCTCAGATTGCACAAGTGAAATTTGAGCCTTACAGGATTTTTAAGAGCTAGAAAAAGTGGGAACCGTTCTTCACTGGGTTCAAAGGTCTGATCTACATAAAAGCAAATTTCTAGGATTCCCTTTAAGCTGGCATCACTCAGTTTACCCAGTTCTCAAATAAATGTACCTATAGCGGTTGTCACCACTCAGAAACATCTCTAGATTTAACTCACGCCAGAGCTCTAAAGTGTGGGAAATCAGGCACTAGCCATTTCCATAGAACCAACCAACCAAC